TCGACATATCGTTGCCATAATCTCAAAAGACATAATGATTGCAGATTCCTTATATCTTGTCACATCACCCCTTCAATCGCATATACTACCTATATCTACCAATCAACCTCCTTGGCTTCTCTATCCTTTGCAGTCCATCATTACCTGAAGGGAATAGTAACATGATGGCTACCGACCTCATTTACCAATCAAGGGAGAGGTCAGCGGCATGTGATCCAAGCTCAATACAAGTGGCTGATTTGATTGAAATGAAATCATTTCCGGCATGTGATCCAAGCTCAATACAAGTGGCTGATTTGATTGAAATGAAATCATTTCAGCCAAGCCCCTTATAAATAGTGGAAAATGATTCCCTTAAGAGGGTATAAAAAAAGCATAAGGTTTATTTTGTAGTAGAAACAAACCTCAAATAAACCAAAGGCGTGAGATTTATTTTTGAAGAGTTCGACAAAAAACATTAATGATAGAACATTAGTGATTCTCATAGTTCTATGTATCAAATATAAGATAAATACAAATATAAAACTTGTTGACTTTTTGTAAGCATCACGAGTTTCAGCCTAAAATCATTTTTTTGGGGATACCATACATATCTATCGAGATCAAGTCATAATGAGTAACTCTAATTGTTGCAAATCAACCATTTGATTGGCCCCAATTCCATTTTCATGCTCTCTAGTAGCCAATATACGTTTAATTTTCTCTCTTTATGAAGTTGTTAATTTAAAATAATGGATGTAGTACACATATTGACAATCTCTAAGAAATAATGCTTTAAGTTTATTCTAAGACCACTGATATTACTATCATCATATCATTGACGTATTATTTTGTTCACCTAAAGTTCAAGTTGAGTAACAACATTGGATATCTTGATTTTGAGATTTGATGAAGTGATCTCATTAACTCTTTTGATTGCTAGAAGCATCCTATCAAACAACCACGACTCTTCCCAAAACCTCAAGATAAAGTGACATATGCTCTCATTTATATGCATATTATGTTTTAACAATAAGAATACAAAAGTATTCATCTTCAACTTTCATCAAATCTTCCATCATACTCTATTGGTCATAATGCGCAAAACTTACTTTTTGAAAATTTGGTGCAATTTATTGGCATTTTGTCAAGGATGGAACTCAACTTTGATTCTCATTGCAACCGTAACTCCGACAAAGGCATGTTCCAGCTGTAATCAGCTGAAATGTTAACCAAATTGAAATGAAAATAGAATTGGAGAGAGGGTAAAAGAGAAAATTAGAAAGGGATGAGAAAAGCTATTGAATGATTTCAACAAAGTTTACTAAACATTTCAGATTACAAAAGTTGCCCTTTATCTTTCCCTAATTCTGTATCTATACTCTTCCAACACAGAGAAAATGCATATCTTTAGACAAAATGCAAAAGGCGTGTTTTAATTAACTTAATACAACTCAAGTAAGATAAAATGATGTCGTTCGATTATAAGTAAATTGGAGTCGTTTCCCAATTCGAATTTCCATTACTTCCATTGGAGTTTCCCAATTCATCCAATTTTCTTCCATTCTTCCTATCTGATCTTCATTTTTTTTCTTTCCCATTGATTCTCCACGTGACAACCCTTTCCCTCACCATGATCTTGTCCCCAAGATCGACAAAGTGGAAATTGGGATTTAATACATTTAGCGTCCTCCCAAATAGCGCAATCTAGAGGGAGGTTTGTCCGTTGAACCAGCCCTGAATTGCGGAATGTGACCTTCGCAAAACTACCCTGGATTGCAAACAATGGAATGGTACGTGTACTGGTTGAGTTCAAGAAGGATAAAAGATGGTGTTCTAGCAACTTGGAGTGACTCTCTTCAGGTAATTGAAGTACTGGCATAAACTTATCACCCAATTTTTTCTTCAAGAGAGATATATGAAAGACAGGGTGAACTTCTGAGCTGGCTAGAACTACTAATTGATATGCCACAGTGCCTACTTTTCTAGTGATTTGATAAGGACCAAAATACTCAGTTCCCAACTTATGATTGGACATGTGCTCAACTGACTGGCGATTGTATGGATGGAGTTTAAGGAATACCCAATCACCATCAACAAATAACCTTTCAGGTCTCTTTTTATCAGCATAAAACCTCATCCTTGTAGTTGCATGTGAAAAGTTCTCCAATTTTTGATTTAGTTTGTATTTTTGCATCTCCAACACAGTGAAAAATTAGAAATGAATTGATTGAAAGTTACTTGATCTTTTACATTTCTACTGCCTTATATACACAAAGAATCTATACAAGCATTTAGATATAAAAAGAATATTCTGATCTAACAGAATTTGCCATGTGCTCTAACTGCATTTATTCCACCGTGCACCACCAATTCTGTTAGGCTGCAGTTGCTGATTGTTGCTCCTTCTTGTCATGTTGGTTCAAATATTCTAACTCCCCCTTTCAAGGTGGAGTGTGTCTTTAGCACTCCAAGCTTGTCTTTAAGAAACAAAAATCTTGAATGACTCAGTGGTTTTGTTAGCAAGTCTGCTGTTTGGTCAGATGTTGGTACATAGTTGATTTCTATTTCTCCTCTTAGAACCTTATCTCTTACAAAATGAACATCAAGCTCTATATGCTTGGTGCGTGCATGGTAAACTGGGTTCGAAGCCAATGCGCTTGCACTTAGGTTATCACACCATATCTTTGGCACCATCCTCTATGGTATCTTTAGCTCCTTCATCAGGGATTGTATCCATGTAATTTCTGATGCACAATGAGCTAATGCCCTATATTCAGCCTCCGTGCTTGACCTTGCCACAACATGTTGTTTTTTCGAGCACCAGGACACCAAATTATCTCCAAGATATACACAATAACCTGCTGTGGATCTTCTCTCATCTGGGCAAGATGCCCAATCAGAGTCTGCAAACACAATTATGTCAAGGTTGTCACTTTTTCGAATGACAAGTCCATGTTTTAGAGTTCCTTTCAGGTATCTAAACACTCTTTTGAGTGCCTTCCAGTGAGCATCAGTTGGTGTTTGGAGGAATTGGCTCATTTTGTTCACTAAATATGTGATATCCGATCTTGTATAGGCTAAGTACTGGAGACCACCAATAGCACTTCTATACAATGTTGGGTTTTTCAAGACCTGTCCCTCAGCCTTAGATATTAACTTTCCAGTTGCCATGGGTGTCAAGCTTGGTTTCAAATTTTCGTACCCAAATTTCTTGAGTAGATCAGTAGCATATTTGGCTTGATTTAAGTACAATCCTGTTGTGTCTCTATACACTTCTATACCCAAGAACTGGCTGAGGTTTCCCATATCCTTGAGAGCAAAGCTTGTGCTCAAATTGTCAATGAACTGCTGCAGCTTCTGTTGCAGTTTGATGATCACTGTTGGCTTCATTTTCAATGTGTTGAAATTCACATACATCCTGTTGAATACCACTTGCCACCTGGTCACCTGATTGATCCTGATTTATCTCAGCATTATTGTCTAATGCTCCTGCCTCACCTTCTACTTCAGGGTCTAATTCTTTACCAGAGGAACCTGCTGTAGGTGATGCATTAGGATAGATCATATCAGATGTGTCTTGAGAGGTTGTTTTATGACTAGACTCAAAGTTAAGTGGAAGGAAACTTATGATAGGTTCAGATGTTAGTGGTTGAGCTGGTTTGTTCAGGAATCCTGACTTGAAGGGAAAATCTAGCTCATTAAATACTACATGTCTGGAAATATAGATTCTACCGCTAGAGCTTAGACACTTATATCCTTTGGGTGAATCATCATAGCCAAGGAAGGTGCACCTTTGTGAGTGGAAGTCAAGTTTGTGTTTTTGGTATGGTCTAAGGCAAGGATAACAAGCACAACCAAAGGTTTTGAGTGTTTTGTAATCAAAGATCCTCCTATAAAGCATTTGAAAAGGAGATTTGTGTTGTAAAATAGGTGTAGGTAATCTGTTGATTAAAAATGTTGCTGTTTTGAATGCTTCCCACCAATAATGTAAGGGCATTTGAGCTTGTGCTAAAAGTGATAGGCCGGTCTCGGTGATGTGTCTATGCTTCCTCTCTGCCCTACCATTTTGTACAGAAGTATAAGGACAACAGTGTCGGAATTCAATCCCAAAATCCAAGGTAATTTGGTTAAATGTTCTAAACTCTCCTCCCCAATCAGATTGTAATGTTTTGATCTTCCTTTCGAACTTATTTTCAGCCATTCTTTTGAACTGATTAAAGATGTTTAGTGCCTCAAATTTATGTTTCATGGGGTAGATCCAAGTAAACCGGCTATGATCATCAACAAAAATGATATAGTATCTAAACCCTGAGGTGGACTTCCTAGGTCCTGGTCCCCAGACATCCGTATAGACCAAGTCCAAGGGGTTTGAAGCATGATATGAAGACATATTGAAAGGTAGTGCATGAGATTTGCCAAATTGACATGGTTCACAGAAAGCTGGTTTTTCATTAATTTTGATGGAATTATTACATGTCTTTAGAACTTGACCTAACACAAGACTTGATGGATGACCTAGCCTTCTATGCCATACATCAACTTCTGACTCTAACTTGACTCTTTTGGTTGACTCATCACAGCTGGAACCTACTGTGAAACAGCTGGTATTACTTTGATGGTCTGACTCTTGATTTGTAGGTTTAGACTTTGAGTTTGGGGGCTCCAGTCGATACAATCCATCCTTAAGCATTCCCTGCAGTAGAGTCTTCCTGGTTTTCAGGTCCTTCACAGCACAATGATCAGGAAAGAATTCAATAAACACATTGTTATCATATGTAAGCTGAGATATACTGATCAAGTTCTTTTGATTTCAGGCACATGCAGTAACTTATTAAGAGTAAGAGGTTTGTCTAAAGTAGGGATGCTTCCTTTACCAATATGTGCAATTTTTAGTGAATTTCCATCACCAACTAGCAATTTCTCCTTACCATCATATTTCTTACCAGTATTCAAGTTACCTTTATTTGCTGTCACATGGTTGCTGGCACCAGAATCAGCAAACTAGGCCGGATCTTCAAGTATTCTTGGTCCAGCAGCATATGCAGAGGGGTTTGAGGTACTACCTTGATGGTTTTGATTATTAGGTCTGTTACCCATGTATCTGTTATCATATCTGTTGAAGCACCAGCTAGCCAGGTGATTGTTGAGTCCACAAATCTGACAAGGTCCCTTGCTTTCATTTGGTCTGTTTGCTCTACCTCTTCCCCTTGATCTACCTCTAAAATTCAGGGTCCTTCCTCTAAAGCTTCTGCCACTTCCTAGACCTGCACTTTGGGCTAGTTGAACACATGAGTGCTCAACGTTTAGTGATGCAAAGTTGTTCTTCACTTGATTCAAATACTCAAGCCTACTCTCAAAA